GCCCAATTAATTGTGGCCAGGACATTTCCCACCCCATAACTATGCATTATAAAAGGGGCAGGAAATGTGCCCGCCACAACCGTTTAGGCCAAGGGGGGTGTCAGTCACAGTTTTGCGTGCACTTGGGTAAATGCAGGGGAACTGGGTTTGCACATCACTATTAGGGGATCATTCACATCATATACATTGGACTTTGTTGGGCAGCCTCAACCAGAGCACTCCCAACAAATATACAAGGCAATTATTGTGGCATTCTATAGGGGGGGGGGTGAATTCATGAAAACTGGAGCAGATAGAATCGCATCGCAACCAATCAGCTTCTGTTTCAAAGCTTAATTGAAGAGAGAAGCTGATTCTGTCAGCTCCAGCTTTTACGAATCCCTCCCAAAACTCCCCACAGAGCATGGACATCAATGAAATGTAATTTTGTGACAATAAAGCTGATAAAAAAACAAAATAATAATAAAAAGAGTGCGATGTATCACAACAATGCTTTTGACAGAGCACACGTGCAGACACTGGCATGAATGAGCCCTAATTGTTCATATGTAAGCCTGCACATTTCCTGTGATTTGATTCTCCCATATACCCAATCATTAGTAATCTGGATCAGAACTGTCACCCAGTTATCAGCAAAAATCTGCAAGCCTGTAGGAGATCCCATGCAGGTCTGCCAATAATACATACATCAGCTCATAGAACCGTTGTCGCCATGCCCCAATATAAAGGCGATCCTTGACATGTAGGGAAGTCAAGGTGCCCTGTACAGGCAGGGAACAGGACAAGAGGACGGCCCTGACACACACACATACCTGCTGCAGGCAGACATCCTCTCTCTGCGATCCATGGCTGCCTCCTGACAATCTGCCTTCCTGAGGACACTAAGTCACAGCTACTCCGGACACCCCGGCCCAGGACTTCACACACCGCTCTCCTCAGCGCCAACATTCCGACCAACTCGCCTGTCACCGGCAGCTCTCACAAGGGCGCAGACATCTTGTCCAGGCTCTACCAATCGAGCGCAGAGTTCTATATGCGCTCAGCTGTCCACCAGAGGGCAGTATTGGGACATGTAGCTTACTACTAATGTAGCTTACTACTATTGAGCTGTAGCTTACTACTAAACGACGTTCACGATTATGAATTAAAGGGACCCTGTCACCAGAGCACTTCAACAGAATTTTCTTATTGGATTATATGTGCATTAAACGAATGTTCTGTATGTTAGTTACCTGTAATAGCCTCCCTTGTGTAGACATCCACAAGACCTGTGACTGGAGCTGAGATCTGTCATCTTGGGTGTGATGTCCGCAGCCCCAGAGCTGTCATTCAAGTAACACTGAGGGTCCTGACACCATAGCGGTGCACTAAACGCACATTATCAATGTGTTTAGTGCACATTATCACACAGGATGTCTAGCATGCGTTGCATTGCTATTTATTTGATGCTTTGCAATGAAAAACAAGTAGTGCATGCTTTATTTTTGTACCAGCGCAAGGCACAGCTGTCGGGAGCTGTGTTGAGGTGCCATTTAAATGAATGACATTGTACCAGTGCACAGTACTACATGCTAGGTGTGGATATCCTGCGTTAAGCATAACACTAGGGTGTGAACTGTCCTTGCAGGATGAGCTTTGAGCTTGGGTTGAACATGAGTTTGACCTGAACCTAACCTGTTCACAGTTCATCAAACAGGTGAGCGATTTGGCCAGTGTACCCGCCTGCCGAACCTCCATCTGTGTCCTAGCAACTGATGGTGGTTGAGTGGTGGCTGAGCCTTGGTTGCTAGGATGCAGGCGGGCACACCATGAGGATGTGGAGCTGCCAGCATCTTAGCAACCAATTATGCTCTACAGGCTGCACAACAACATTATTGGTTGCTAGAATGCAGGCAGATGAACCATAACAACCAATGATGCTGCATGGCCGTCTGTGTCCTCCTAGCAGCCAATTATGCTGTGCAACCCACACAGTGCTACTGGTTGCTAGGATGCTAGCGGCTGGGAAGCCTGGCAGCATTGTTTGCTAGGACGCAGGTGGTACACCGTAACGACCAATGACAGTGCAGGACTGCCTGCAGCCCAGCCACTAGACTGCTAGCAAACAATGAGGCTGTGTGGGTCACACAGTGTCATTGGTTGCTGGGACAAAGACAGCACCAGGTTAAGTTCACTTGGCAATGCGCTGAAACCTGGATTTCTTGTTAGGTTTAGCAAACATCCAAGCGAACCCCACCCAGACACGACTAGTCACACTCTCTAGTATTTCCTTGCTCTCCTCCCTGGCAGCTACATAAAAGGTCATGAGGAGGGGAGAAGATGGGCCAGCACATACAGCAATTAGATACTGCCAGAAGAGGAATGAGCCTGCAAGGAAGGAGGGGTTTGTGCTAGGGAATTGACTCTCCCAGAGTAGTCTAGTTTTTAGCATGCCCAAAGGCACATTGCACATTAATAAAAATGTTCTTACCCGCAAAAAGAAAACAAATGCAGCCACCACATCTAAGAACTGGTAAGCTGTAATATTTATTAGCATTTTGTTCTTTAGAGATCCATTGTTTTATTGATATATCCCGTAGAACATTTCTACCAGTTGTATTAAAAAACAATTCCTCATTGTGTAAAGGACAAGTTTACCTTTAGTAAATTCCGCTATACTTATCCTTTGCTCCAGAGAAGCAACATCCACAAGCTCCTCCACTGGAACCAATATTGTGCCCAATCTGCTTCCAGGTTTGGCATCTTGAGTCATACCGATAGGTTGGCCCAGTATGAAGTAACTCCTGCTGCTGCTCATTGGAGTTGATGCATCCTGACACTCAGCAGATGGTGCCATTGTACAGCTCGGTGCACACTGTACAGAAGGGGTGGGCAACTTCAGCCCTCCAGCTGTGCTTTAGTTACAAATCCCAACATGCCTCTATCTCTGGGAGTCATGCCTGTAACTGTCAGTCTTTGCAATGCCTCATGGGACTTGTCTTGCCACAACAGCTGGAGGGGCGGAGTTGCCCACCTGTAGTTGCACTACAATAAAGAAGATTGTGAACAAGAAGGTAAGAGGCTGTTTTTGCAGAAGATACATAGATTACTAAAGGAGTAGAATATGTTCGATTTGCATTGGAATTTTCACGGGGCCTAGCAAATGTGAAAAATGGGAAAGGCGAATGAGGAAGGAAATTCGTAGTTCCTATGACACAGGAGCTTGGTGTTTTGGTGAAGATTCATCACACACGCTATTTTGGAATATCGAACTATTAATTTGTGAATGTGGGTGTTGCCCAAACGACACATGGGACTTTGCCTCACTTGATTATTTGTATGCATAACGATTATACATGCATGTATGATTATACAGAAAAGTTTATATATATATTTTTAGGTTTTGCACAGACCAGTTATTTTAATAATTTTTTCTATAAAACGTTTTTTTTATAATTATTGGTAAAGAACAGTACAGGAGACTCTGTAACACCTAGGATGATACTTACCATTAGCCCCAAACCAGCTATCTTTCCTACAATATGGTCCAGGTTGGCTCCTCCCATATAGCTCCTATCTGTTGAATTTTCTAGTTGTGTTTCTAGCTGTCAGCTCCACTAGTCCCGTGATTTCCCAGCTACTACTGATCACATTGCTCCGGCATGGGATAGACTTTGAACACAATATGCGATATGACACTTTGGGCCGGAGAGAATGTATAAGAGCAATGTTCAATTCTTTTAAAAACTTTCAGATTTAAAAGAATTGACACCGGCTTTAGAAATTAAAGCGGACCTTTACCCATATCTTTAAAATAACAACAAACACACCTTTTCGAAATGTTTAGTAATGACAATCTACAAACACATACATCTAGATAATTGCCGGCTCTTTATTCTTTGCATACCTTATATCTCTTTTCTTTCCCAGTCTTCTGACAGTGGCCATGTTTACTAATGGCAGATTACTAGCTCTCCTATTACTTCCTGGATTTCTGGCACATGTGACTAGACACGTGAGTAGGACATGTGACAATGGCTTTCCAGATGAGATTTCCAACCAAAGCACTGCTGATGTTACCGTCCCAGGATGCAATACTTTTTGCCAAAACTAGACCAGGAAGTAGATGAACTCTATTTGTAAGTAAATGAAAAACAAGTTTGTTTAACTAATGAATTTAAGATGATTTTAAATCAGCATGCAGAGCTGCATCCTGCTGTGCTTTTTAGTGAAAGGGGGTGAAGGTCCACTTTAACCTCTTGCCGTCCGCCCGTAGTAAAAAAACGGATGGACGGCACTGCTACATCTGCGGGTTGCCGTCTCCAGACGGCAATTTTTTTCTGCTCGCGCAGATATTAAATTGTAGTAATTGGGTTTACACCTACTGGCCAGCAACAAATAGTCTGCGGCATACAGCCTGCCAGTTTACATATCCACTGCATTAGAGGAAGAGATAAGGAGGAGAGAACTCAATGTACACAGCCCAGCAGATTTTCTAAGGAAAGCCAATATACAGGTGAAACTCGAATAATTAGAATATCGTGCAAAAGTAATTGCAGTAAGTTCTGCAAAAGGGGCCCAAACCAAGTACTGAGTACATATGCATGCTTGTACTTTTCAGAGGTCCGATATTGTTCTATGTACAAGCCTTGTTTTATTGATTGCATGTAATAATCTACTTTTTTGAGGTTGTGGATTTGGGGTTCTTGGGGTTTTCATGAGCTGTAAGCCATAATCATCACAATTATGACAAATCACGGCTTGACTTATCTTGCTTTGCATGTAATGAGTCTATCTCATATATTAGTTTCACCTTTTAAGTTGCATTAGTGAAATAAATGAACTTTGCACAAAATTCTAATTATTCGAGTTTCACCTGTATTGTTGCTCTTGAAAAACTGCAAATTTATTATCCAATATTAGTGTTAAAAATAAAAACTTTGTTTTCAGTAAACTTTTATGTGATCTCCCAAATTATTATTTTTTTAATAGAAAACTCACTTAAATGCTTTGAAAAAGATACTTATTTTAAAAATAGATGAAACACAAACTGCATGTCTGTGACGGCTATAATTTCTCCAGGTCATGGTATAGCTAGTCACTCACATTCAACTGGATTTGTTCTGTAATATTTAGGTATGCACCGATACCGATACTAGTATTGGTATCAGTGCCGATTCCGAATATTTGCCAAATGCTCAGATGCCTAGCCTGATACTTTCGGTATCAGGAAGACGGGCAGCGAGTCATTACACGCTGCCCGGCTTCCTGATTGGCCGGGAAACCGGCTCCATGCTCCCTCGTCACTTGCAAGTCTTTACTAGCCGCCCGGCTTCCCGGCCAATCAGGAAGCGAGGTGGCGAGTCGTTACACGCTACCTGGCATCTTAAATGGGACTTCCGGTATCAGTATTCGGTATCGGCGAGTACCCAAAAAAAACCCGGTACCCGTACTTGATATCGAAATACCAGTAGCGGTGCATCCCTAGTAATATTAGAACTTATGAAGTGGCAGCATTACAGAACAAATCCAGTTGACTAATCACTACTAGATAAAGCATAAACTACATAATGTAAATACACAGTTTAGCATAACAAAACATTTAAAAAAATTAAAACATTAAAAAAATTGCTTATATTGTGGATAAGACAAATGCCTATTATCATAATATAGTGTACAAGTATACATATAATAAAGAGCAGCTATGCTGAGAACTTCTTCTATAATAGAGGTAAAGTAAAAGTTTGAAAATGTACACATTGAGGGCAGCATGCTTACTTGAAAACATAAAGTGCAGAACGGAATTGTGTTTATTGTTATTCTAAATATGCTATAATATGGAAGCGTACACATACGTGGGATGGGTTTCCCAGCAGTAATAAAAGAAAACGTTCACTTAACGATTCTTTTATATACTGAGTGACCAGTACTGATGTGTAGTAGTAGTAGTAGTATGGTTATCGTGATTCGCTCTTCTGACATTCAGCCCCTCCGCCTTAGGCCCTGGTGCTTTTGTTTCCATATCCTTATGCATAGATTTCCTATGCACAATTCCTACCCCAAGGTGAGGGAGAACATTGTTTCAGGCAGCACCCTCAAGAGGTAGGATTAGAAGAGATCCCTATACCAACCTCTAACCACCCATCTTCCTTCTGATAAAGTTTGATGAGTTGAGGATAAGAGTTAAGAACAAGACATAGGACCAGGTATGGAATAGCTCAAACTTTGCTGGTTTTGTTCCATGGTACAAGGCTTTGCGGGTAAGGTAGTATGGAAGTGGATGTTCCAAATACACTACTTGTCCAAAAAATAAAAAGTCAAGCTCTCCAATATTTTGTTGGACCTCCTTTAGCTTTGATTATAGCATGTATTTGCCATGGCTTTGTTTCAACAAGCTTATGCAATATCACAACATTTATTTCTGTCCAGAGTAATTTTTCACCAAGATCTTGTAGTGATGATGGGAGAGTCGGACCACTGCGTAGTCTTCTCCAGCACATCCCATAGATTTTCAATGGGGTTAAGGTCTAGACTCTGTGCTGGCTCATGTTTGACAATGATGTCGCATGCTCCCTGAACCACTCTTTTACAATTTGAGCCCAATGAATCCTGGCACTGCCATCTTGGAATATGCCTGATACATCAAAGAATAAAAACCTGTTTTTTTTTTTCTCACTTCCTAATATGCTTTTTTACTTTTTTGTTAAATTGAGGTATACTTTTATCAGAAAAATTATTGAATATATGTAATTTCAAGTTTTTATATTCTTATTTTCCTAGAAGAAAGTGTTAAAATTAATAGATTTTATTTCTATTTATTTACTAATAAAAATACATGTCTTAAGCAAATGTTTGTTATATATTAGCATTATATTTCATCTGAATCTTATTTGAGCTTGTTGCAATGTGAATGTGAGATTATAAAAAAAAGAATAATAATAAAAATTAAGAATTATTATTTGTGTGCCAAAAAGAGCATCATCATAGTTATCTTTATTGGATCCATAGTATGGCAATGTTAGTTGCTTCTGATTTTTGTATAGTTTTTATGCGTCGCTGTAAAAAATATAAGGGCATAGAGTAAGAATTACACTGCCTATTTTTCCCTCCAAGCCTTACTAAAAAATCTGAAGGTGCATTTACACCAATATTATCTGTTTTTTTTTATTACGTACAGTAAATAGTGCAATTTCATATATATTTTATAGCTCAAACTAGCTTTACTGTTAGGACTTTTTGATTTTTTTAATTGTAAAAAATATAAATAGATGTGCTGTGGTTTGTATAGTTTTTCATCCCCCTGTTTTAACACACTTCTTTATTTACCACAAGGCTACATTTACCACAAGGTTTTTTTTTTTTGCCACAACGATCTCCCATATTAACAAGGCAGCACCACAGCCTTCAATTTACAAATCCTAATACCCAACTTTCTAATCTTCTCTTACATCATGCAAGACTCCCTTTCCCAGCCCACAGTTCTATAACACTACCATTTCAGCTACTAATCCTAATGAGTTAGGAGAACATTATGGCCTCCAGCCTTTGTACCAGTGGCTGGTGTTTTCTCAACTTCTGGTAGTAGGTTTGCTTTAAAGGGAATATAAAGTATTTTCATTATACATGAAAAAAGTTTCAGCTTCATACAAAATATCAATTTGATTTAAGGTTTTAAAAATATTTCTCCATATATAGTTTGTAATCGTATATGTACATGGAGCTGTTATATTTGCTCATAAGATGCATTGGCTCTGCTTTTCACTTTACAGTGTTACACTGTAGTTTACAGCTTTTCCTCTTAACCTTAGTCTATGAGTTGGCTGACTCATAGAATGTATCAGATACAGTATATTTTGATGTGCCGTGAGCAATATGTACCGTGTGTGCTATTCTGTGTAATGCATGATTATGCAATGAGACTACATATTCAGCTTTCTTAGTGCATTATTAATATAACATAATGCACATAACTCAGTTAAGCAAATGGAAGCTTTCTTCATTCTCAAGGATCTGCAAAGCTTGGAGAAGAGGGAAATCTGTCTCTTTTTCTTCCACCAAGAACACATTATCTTCTTGGTGGTGGCTGTGAAACCACATGTTCTCATAGTTTTGGGGACTGGGAGACACATCACACAGAAGTGGCTGTGTGGAGTCAGACCTCACATAGACAGAGGTTGGAGGGCTTTGTTCACGGTAGCCTCCAGTGATCACCTGAGCATACTGAACAACGTCTGTATTGACATAAGACCTCCAATTATTTATTTCATCTGTATTGGTGACAGGTGTCTCTTTAGCATGGCTTTCAGTAAGTGGTTTCTTTGCTTGCCATCCTTCTACAATGGCTATATCACTTGTTAAGAACTGAGTAACATCGGTGGGGTTAGCCATTATCCTAGGTGTCTAGAAAAAGGAAAAAAAAACAAACAGTCAGGTAATGGGTTAGTAAAGCAGAAACATAATTTTGCAAGTTTTTAATTCTCACTTGTACTGTAGGCAGAATATGGTAAGAATGTTAATGTTAAGCTATATTCATATTCTAGCATATTCAGTAGAGTATCTTTGATCTGATCTATCTGTGTAAAGTGATGATATGGCCATACAAAATGCCAAGATTACATAATTACTGCGTGTTTGTGTTGGCATATTGTTCATATCTATTTGGAGCCTAAGTGTGATGTTTTTCTATGTAGTGAAACATGATTGACACTGCTGCTGGTTCTTGTTTAAGGTCTGCACCACTTTTGCTAGTGGTTCTTGAGGCAGGACTGTGGGTGGTTCTTCTCCTGAGAGTTCCTGCATCAGGGCTGTGACTAGTTCTGCTGTTTTTGTTAGCAAAACTACTGGTGGTTATGATTCTGAATGGTGGCAGGGAATGTGTCTGTGTCTATTAATTGTAGCAGACTTGGTAATGTAGGGCTGCAGTATGCCTACTGGAAAAAGTTCTGTTCTCTTGATCGCTCTCTCCCTAAGTTTAGCCATGTTCATCTTAATGCTTGTTGCTTCTGTGTTTTTTTTACTTTCCTGTCCACTTTTAAGTGTTTGTACATGGATCCACAATCTGCACTTAGATATGGGCTCTCTGAATCACTGTAGCCCCCTCTTGTTTGCACCACACATAGTGTGGACTTCGAAAAAGTGCTTTTTGCCTTGTTTTCTCCTACTTCCTGCCAATAAAAAAAACTCCTTGTTTTTAAAGACACTTTAAAGAAATACATGCAATATTGCACTTTGCAAACTGAAAAAAAAAGTTAATTATTAGAAAACGACTTTGTGGTGTTGTGTAATATTTTTGGGGAATAATACATAACAGCTTTTAAACGGGTCCCTTTTGTCATAGTGCACAGCAAGGCATCACAAGCACAGGACTAAGAATCTAAGGCCTGCAAATCCTTTCAGTGGTGTAGTGTGGGTGTATCTAGGAGGATGTCATCGCTGTAGTACTACGCAACCCAAGGCTCATAGGAGTTCCACTACTCAATGTCTAATATGTACATTGACAATGATTAGTGCAGTGTAAAGATTACATTACCTCTTCCATGAAAGAGGTCCATTTTCCCATTTGGCTTTTTGCTGGATCTGGAACTATAGGCCAGAGTTGATTCTTCATTCTGCAAAGCAAAAAAACATGACTGGGTAAAAGAGGCATAGACAGAACATCTTTACAAAATACCAAGCCACAAAATAAGTTATAAGACCGATATAGCCAATTTATGAAATGCAGAAAGCTGGTCCTGGACAAAGATGGCATATGAGCAATTATTTAGTCAGTGCTTCAGGCGAGATACAAGTTATATTAGAAATTGGAAGGGATTAATTGGAGGTATAGCGAATTCTGAAGATTACTTTTTGGGGCTTATTGTACATAAGAAATGTTATAGGGATATAATGGCCTGTGTGTTCTGTCTCCTTCTTCCCTGGCAACCAATCTGTCTCTCCTTTTAGAAATGGAAGACAAAAGGGACGATATAGAAGCTTGCATATAGACCTTCAATTTCTGTACACACATAGAGCCAACACGCTGCTACTTTATATTTCCTTGTACAGACTAACTAACAATAGACAGGAGGGATAGCTATGTGTTTTCTGAACAATAGCAAGTCTTCCAACTCCTTTCAGCATCCTCTGAACACACATACGTTAAGTGACTGAGTGTATTCACCTATGGCAACAAGTGGGCAGGAGAGGGTAAAAAGATAGGAAATAAATTATCCCATGATCCAGGGATAGTACAATTCCTTACAAGGACAAGAGAAGGGATGAAGAAATGGTTTCATGGCAGCAGTTCTATAGTGAAGGTACATCAACAAGTAGGAACTATCAATATCGTATTCTAATTGCTTAAATCTGAATTTACCTTTCATGTTTCAATAAGCAGATGATAAACACAAGAATGGTCACCAGCAATAAAAGTGGAGATAAAACCAGGAGCATCAAAGTGTTGTTTGTGTTATCTGGAGGATAATCAGAGATTCAGATTAAAGGTAAAGGACACTACATCCTTAAAGGTCTATTTAATAAGAGCAATGAATTGCAGTAACCCACTTCAGCAGCAACATGCACCAAATGGTTATTGAGCATCACTACATTTTTTCACATTCTTATATTGCTGCTGTTACATAAAGCCCTGAGATGACATAAAACAACATTAGGGTGCCTCCAAATAATTATAAACCTTTTTTTTAGTATGCTCAGCAAATGCTGTTTCAATAAATACTGCTGGAATCAACATTTTTAAAATCTTTTTATTCATTTTATTGGAAGCCTATCTTTCCTAGCTACTCAAAAACCTTTCTGGTACCTATGTCATTTGATACTGACTACTCTTGCAGTTTTGTTTCCCATACTGGTACCATGCTGTAATACAACTAACAACAGTGTCCATGTATTCTGGGAAAATCAAGCATATATTTATATCTCTCCCCAAATAAGACATTAAGATGAATGCCACACCAGAGCACCGCCAAAAATACAGCCAATACCACTAACATTGAAAGACCATAAAACAGAGTCTGAGTGGTAAAAGTTTAAAAATGGGTCTGCCCTACCCACCTAGGTCAGTCCTTTACAAAGTAGACCATGCTTGGGTTGGCCAGCATATTAGCTGACTGTCTAGTTCTGCACGTTAGATAAATGTCTGCATCATGCGAAGAACTATTTGAATTTTTTTTTGATTACTACACACATGCTACATATCCTCATATAACTGCATTGGTCATTCTGGTAACTTAATATCTGAGCCATGAATATTGACTATGCACCAAATACGGACCAATTGTCATAAGATTAGGTCCACAATAAATTAATCTGCCTAATAGAAAGGACATGTATTGGCATATTTGTAAATGATTATATCTTCACAGTTTCTATCACTGTGGTGGTAGACCAATCCAAATAGCTACAGCAGACCAGTCTAAAGATCCTTATTTTAATACATTCCGCCTTTCCACTGTCATGTACTGTTCTCCCTCTCATTTTCAATTACCAGACTAACAGTCCTTTGCTTCATCTTTTTAAAGTGTTCTGCTTACCCAGGTGAGTGGTATGGACCGTTAGTTTGTTACTGTCCACACTGCCTCCAGCTGTAGAACTTCTTAAAAGCACTTCATATGTTGTGAAAGATAGAATATTTTTCATCTTGAATCTTGTGACTGAACCATTTAGTGTTGAAACTAGAATCAAGAAATGCAGATGTTTATTAGTACACATTGGGTTTCAGACATGAATGTGTTTGTAAGAAGAAAAGTGTGCCTCCAAAAGCAAATCACATTCATACTTTGTATCAGCAGCAGGACAGATCAAATTGGTTTCTATGGTCAATATACTCAGCTCCTCTGGTATAACCTTTTAAACTTGTGCCATTTTACATTAAGGCTTAAAGGCCATTGTCCGAACAACTTATTAGGATTGTGGGACAATCAACATTTCTGTGGGGTTTGACAGAGACAGCATAAAAAAATACAATCTAATGGTTCTTGGTAGGTTCATGAATTCATTGGTTAAGCACATACTACTGTAGATAAGTTGGAAGACTGTGTAGATTCTTAAGCATTAAAACCACATCATGTGATTAATATGTATTCAGCACACCTTCTTCTACTATATAAGGCCTAAGATATTGTGGTGGCAGCACAATAAAAGTGGCCTAATAGGCACTTAGTTGAAATCTATTAATGCACAGAGGAGGAAGCATTTTTGGAAATGTGTGTCTTAGGAGACAATGTATTAACCACAAGTATTTGCATGCATAGATAAGTATTGGACCTGTTTACTAAAGTACTGGAGGACATAACTGCCTTTGTCTGTGTTGCTTAATTGCAGTCAATCAGATTCAAACTTTTTTCTCCATTTGTGAGTTTTCAGTGGAGGTTTGACTTTGATCGGCTGCTATCAGGCAACACAGAATATCTGAGGTAAGTAAACTCTAAAACTATCTAATAAGCAAGGAGTAATTATGTTTTTGTATTTATTTATTATTATGCAGATATTTGCATATGAGGTAAACTTCAGGGATTGCAGTAAGTGCCATACAGCTGGTTCTATATCTCTACACAGTGGGACCATTCAGATTTATATTGTGTTTGTCTGTGAAAGCTTAAAGTGACATTAAACTCTCAGATTTTTTAACATAAAACAATACTGTAATGTGCGCCTTACTGTAATCCATGGTTGTTTCCCTTCTCTTTGCTGCTCTTCCTTTTAAATCCTCATGTCTTCTCGTGCTGGGGGAGAACTTCCCTTTTCAGCTCAGGGCCTCTTCCTGTAGTGCTGGCTCAGGTTTCAAGCCTATACAAACGTATACACAGACACCGTGTATCCATTCCTGAGACAAGGCAGTCTGCTGCAAACAGAAGTTCTGCCCAGCATGAGAACAGATACAAATTTAAAAGGAAGAGCAGCAAAGGGAAGGGAAACTACCATGGATACACATTACACTATTGTTTTATGTTAAAAAAATCTGAGGGTTTAATGTCACTTCAAGGTGCATTGCAGTGATATGGGGATGACAAATATGCATGATGAACCCATAATGAATTCCTGTACATTGTTCTGTGGATTAGTACATGCAGTACTGAATAATGTTTCCTAGAAATTACCAGTATAAAATTTAAATATTACTAATGTTTAACAGGAACTCCAGCTTCACCGTTTTTCTGTTTCATGTGATGCTTGGTTGAAAACTGCTCACCTTGCCTCCTTACTGTGTGCTGCTGATGTTTCTTTAAAGGGCATCACAGCAGGCACACAATCTGTCTGCAGACACTTATGTCTCCACAAGGCATTCTGACTGTCTTAGACAAGTCCCCTTGGTTATGGGGGTGTTGTGTCCTATGTGGTGCACAAAACCTCCATAGAGCCAGTTGCATCTGAATTATAAAGAGTTAGTTGCAGAGCAAACCCCCCCCTTCCCCCCCCATGTGCACACTCAACATGTGACTTAGGAAGGCTTCTTTGCAAAGACCCCTCTCCTCCCTATGCAAAATAAATATTAGGACTCTACCAGTGTCCAGCTAATAGTGTATTGTAAGTTGTTGTGTTGCTCTCTATTTGTGACTGCAGTGTTATTTCTCTGTGAGTAGAACGGACTTGCATTGTTTTCTATTGTATTTGAATATGTGTTATGTATTATCCACAATACAAGACAGTAAACCAGACTACAGTAGAAATAAGTAGTTAGGACTAATGTCTAATGCTTTGTAGTGTAATTTGGACTGCAAACACATGTAAAACACAGCATCTGGTTTACTGTCTTGTATTGTTCAAATTTAGGCAAAGCAGTGTATATTAGCTTAGATAGGCATGATGTGTTCAAAATGTCAGTCACTGTTGCAGTGCTTGTTAGTGCAGTGATGTACTGGATCAGGGGAGGCAGGGGAGGCAGGTGAGGGAGAGCCTCACCTAGTATTATGAAGAAAAAAGGTGTCATCTTTAAGTCTGAAGCTGACATTTTTTTTTCCATTTAGATCGGCTTCTATTAGGTTACACAGCAGATAAATCCTCCCCGCTGTGTAACCTGTCATGGACGGAGTGCTGCCTGTTAATTACAGGCAGCGTTGCATCCGGCTTTTGACAGGTAGTTAGGTTACACAGCAGCGGGCTTCCCCACTGCTTGTGTGACCTAACTTGGTGAGGCAAGAGCTGTCACAGCCTCTACTCTGTGTTAGATGCGTGAGCTCTGTTGATGGTTTGGACCAATGGAAAGCGCCATTGGTCCAAGCTGTCCAATCAAAAAAAAATAAAAAAAAACCCCACTGAGGCCATCAATCTCGATGCCTCACCAGTGACGAGCAAGTGAGGGACAGGGAGGCACCTCCTTGTCTCCTCCCTTCCTCCTCCTCCACACAGCTTGGTTACCAAGCTGGGGACTGGGATTTGGCGGGATGGGGTGGAGCATTGGCGGGCCGGGGGCGGAGCTTCGGCGGGCTGGGGGATGTCTCACCCAGCACAGAAGGCACGGCGCGTCACTGTACCGGATCCACCTGACAGTGCAAGGCAGCAGGAAGAAGATAAAAGATGGTCATGTTACCTCTTTTTACTTTTTTAAGGTAGAAAAACTCAAATCAATGTTAAAATGAGGACAGAAAGCTGCACAGCAAGCCAGGGGAAAGTATAGATGGTGTAGACCTTAAACAATTTAGAGCTGACTTTTTAAAGTACACACTTGCTTTTCTCACCCTCTTTCCTGCCTGCACAATTAATATAGGTTATGCTTACTACAACCTCAGTCCTCCAAAACCCTCCCTGTGTTGCAACTGTTGAAGGTACTGATAAAGGGGTGGTGATTTTCAATACTGACAGTCCAAGAATTTAGCAATATTAAGGTGAAGTGGGAGGATTCATGAGCGTGGATTCTTTCATCTTGGCTTATGTTATGCTTGTGAGTGCACAAACATAAACATTATTTTAATAAATTAAACATGCTTATTTCACTAGGCCAGCACCCTCTGATTTTTCCGTCTTATGTTTAACAGATTACCCAGTGTGCACTAAGAGCAGACGGCTTCTGACAATTCTGTGGACTCTAGGATTATCCAAAACAGGATTTGTAAACAACTACTCTGTTATGTTATACCTGAGCAGTGTAAATCTTCACAAAATGTTTAAACAAGCCAACCATATTTACAGCATTGCATAATGAATAGGAAATAAATGCTTACAGTCTTCTTTGCCATGTGCATCTTTCCAAAAAACAGTATAACTGGTAATGAAGCCATTGCGTTTCTCCAGAGGAATTGGCTCCCACTGCACCTCTATTTGGGACTCATTAGCACTGGCCAGTTTGAGTTCTGGTGAAAAGGCTGGAGCTAAGGAGGCAAAACATTTACAAAGTAATATGTCAATGTGCATTGAAGTGGAGCACAACTCAAAAAGTACAGATTTTCTATGTTAAAGGAACATTTAGAAATGTTATTTGTGCCCCAGCAATACCCTGAAAAATGTACCTTTTGTTTGGCATTCCTCCTGAGAAATAGTGTACCTCTTGTATGAGACTGTGCCTTAGAGCTGTATATCTGCAGTGTTAGGTCTAAAACACTGCTGATGCCACCAATGTTGGGATCAGATTTGCTGTTGTCACTACTGTGCTGCTCACTGTTCTACTTGCTGGGGGCAAGAGGAACCTCTACCAAGATGGCCACCTCCACAGAGACACAGTACAGAACAAGGCATGGTAAATCAATAAGGGGGAAAGATCAGCTGTAGGGAGATAGTAGTCAAACTACTAGTATTTTGCCTTTTTGGGGACAACTTTTAGAGTTCAGTTCCTCTATAAACAACGTGTTTATTGTTAAATTTGAACGGAACCAAACTCAAAATCTTTTCTTCAATTTGGGTTGGAATAGGGCAGGAACTTTTGCTTACAGTTAAGCCTCTGATTCTAAATCTAAATTGGGATTGGGTTAGCGTAAACTACAGAGCAAGGGCCAAACAAAATAACATGTCATCCAAAATAAGACAAATTGTAATTTTAATAATTACCGGCTGATAACCAAGTAATTGTAAAAATACATTTAAAATGAACCAAAAAATTATTTCTATCTTACCTTTTTCTTTGGTATAGACATTTGTTTGAATTGGTGTTCCAATGCTGTCCTTATACACAGGGTACAGTGTGACAGTGTACATCTGGTAAGGCTCAATGTTGTCTGGAATATAGAATACAAACAAAATATTGTGTAGCATGTGAATTTTATTGTATAAGATTTATTTGCCCGGTACACAGTCAGCTTCTAACATCCGTTTCTAAGTCAGTCAGTGAACTGTTCAGGACACACTGCAACTATGCTATTGTCACAAATTCTATTCAGTGACCCTGATTTACTAAAGAAGCAGAGAATATTTACTTACAAGGTAAATTTGCACTTTGCTAAGGTTAGGTACTGTGTGTGTTACTTATTTTATTCCATTAGTACATTTTCAGGGTGAATAAAGTGAAACAAAAAAAATACTAACTTTGCAAAAAATACCCAGGTATGTGCAAGGAAAAAAAACCCTGTATTTTTGCTTGCACATGATTAGATGATGAAGTCAAGCTCCACCTCATTCACTAAGCCAAGGGCAAACTCACCGCAAAAGTGAAAACTTACTTTGAAAATGAGCATGTTCTACTCCTATTAAATCAACCTAAGTATCTTAATATGAGCTTTATCAAATGAAATGCAGTCAAGGTCTGGCAGGCTTCTCACAGATTCTGTGAAAGATTCTTACCCTTGCCTACTCTATCTAAAATCTGGTCTAGGGGCAGGATCAAAGAAGATACACTCACCTGATCCTCACTCCCTGGCTGTTAGACCAGTACCTACAGCCTCTTCTCCCCAGGCTACGGTGGTCTAAGGACCGCTGACATTATCAAGTCTAATGCAGGTCTGTTCAGCTACATTAAACGTGAGAACACAGAGCGACATTCCACATCTGGAGCAGAGGGGAGGGGGGAGGAGTTGAACTCTGGCTGATGCGGGACCAAGGATCAGGTCAGTATATCTTCTGTATTCTGGCTCCTAGACCAAAACGAGCAGTTAACCCTTGCAGTGGAGAGGTAGCCCCACTGCAAGGGTTAATTTTGTTACCAGCTGGAGTTCCACTTTAAGTAATCAAAGTGACATCATTGAGATGCGAGGCACCTTATTGGTATATATTTTGGACAGTTTAAAAAACATTTACAGTATATTCTTTATATGTGGCCATGTGAATGCATTGTATGCTCTGCCAAATGGCAAGAATTAGACATGTGCGATTCGTTTTGTTCCGAATCGAAATTCGGACGAATTTTCGGAAATGCGGACATTCGGATGTATCCGAATTCCGAATTACAGACATAACGAATGCAAACGAATCCGAATTTCCATTTCCGAAATTCGGTAGCGTTAGTACGAACGTTCGTTTTGTTTTCTGTTCTTATTCGTTCCTTATTCGTTTCGTTCGTTGGAGCAAAGTGACATTAGAGAAGGAGAAAAATATTTTTTCCCCCTCAAATGTCACTTTGCTGCAAACGAACGAAACGAAACTAATAAGAAACGAATAAGAACAGGAAACGAACGTTCGTACTAACGCTACCGAATTTCGTCCGAATCCGAATTCCGAATCCGATTTGACTTTCACACGCGGATCCTGAAAAACAAAATAACACAAATCCGAATTTAAAACGAAACGAAAGTAAACAAATTTTTTGGCAGTGCACATGTCTAGCAAGAATAGTTCCAAGTACAATAGCTTTAATCAATGTACTGTATGTCAATGCTCATTGTGTCCTTACCTTGTAGAATTGAGGTGTTGCTTCCTTTAAACTCAGTTTTCCAATGAATTTCAGAGCTGGTCGGCTGAGCACTTTTACACCACTCCAACACATAGGCTGTAGCTGAAACCTGTGCTTCCCACTCTACTCGTAGACTGTATTCATTATTAGGCGACACATACATTCTAGACACTGGCTCTCCTGTAGTGAAAAAGTGAGGTCTGATTGAACAAAACAGTATAGATTTCCTTTTAATGTACCAATGCATCTTCTCAAGCTCCTGAAGCAATGTAATTGGCATCTGATTAGAACATTTTAGATGCCAGAATATAAAGCATGGGGACATTCTGTCAGATAATGATGATAACATTTGACCATATCCATTAGGTGGCAGTAACTGTTAGCCTTAAGGACCTGCTCAGGATTACAAAACAGAATTTACATTCACAGTACAGTGGCTTTGATTTGTATGCAATTGTGCCACAAATTATGGCTGACCTTGAAGGGAATCTGTCAGAAATAATTCTAGGAGCTGCCATTGCTGTCCTAGTTGCCTGGTTGTAATAAAGTGTGAATTGTGCAGCGCTAAAAATTAAAGTGCATAATATAAAAATGTAAATATATAAATATATATAATTAAATATATAAATATATATAAATTAGATAATATGAAAAATCTATAATATTCAGTGTCTATCTATTTAAATATGCCTGGTTGTAATGCTGACTTTCCAGCTTCAATACTTTCTGAATAACTGACCTGAAGTGTGCAAATAAGGAAAGTCAGAGAAAAGTAAGACATTAAAAAAAACCTGCTTACTTGTTTAGAGACTTAAAAGGTTCAATGAAAAGGGTCAACATGATGACCAGGCAACAATGCTTTTAAGAAGCTTAGCACTGGCAGCCTCTATGGGTGTCTCGTGACAGGTTTCCTTAAATATGCCTTTTAAAAAAAAAATGAATATTTAAATGGATTGGTCCATAATGAAGCTAATATGGGACCTGATGGTTCATGAGAGAAGGCCAAAAAGCTGTAAAATATACCTGTATGTACAATGCAACCCTTTTTGTATGTGTGTATGCATACAAATTGTTGATGGCACAGGGTATAATTGTTAGTTCATGCCCCAAGCTATCTTTTAATAAATATATGTTTCAATTAGGTTTATTAGATGTAAGTAACATTTTCATCACCATTCTTTGGGAAGAAAATTATCTCTTTCAGTAGAGAAGCTCCAGCTGTATTCTGAGCCCAGATAAATGCCCTCTTTATCCCACGAGGAAGAAAGAATGTACAGTTGAGAGCCATAGTATTGCATAATGGAGTTTCTTTCTGAAGCAGCTCAGTAGATTCCTTCAAAATATACCAGATATGGTTGGCATTGGCTTCCTCTTTTTTTAGTGCCTATAAGAAATGAAAAGAAATAGTTAACCTTGCTTCCATTTTACTAAAACCTGGCATTAGTTATCAATGTGTGCTAAGTAAGACACGTCAGAGCTGCCCACAACCATTAATTAGATTCTTCAGATCAGTCAGCTGAAATATTGAACGTTTGCATTTGATTGATGGTTGTGTTTTTACTTGGTTCAATACTTACTTGACACACATTGATAAATAAAGCTAAAACCATAGTGAGCAGCAGTGATTTGCTGTTGTTAATGTAAAAGGCATTATGCATTCTTCGTTCCACAGACAACCTAATTTTTGACCAAAACGTGAATATTGACCTTTAATGGTACCACAACAACTATTATAGTGTTAAAAACTCATATTTATTGAAATATTCATTCCAATAAATATGTATTTATTTAAATATTAATTAAATAATTAACATGCATAACATTTTGGCTCTTCATATTAAACAATGTGTCTTATATTATTTAATATACCTTCATATACATTCCTAATGCCAAAATGTTATGAATTAATTAATTCAATGTTTTGATGAATATTTAAAAAAATACATTTTAAATGTTTTATTATGAATATAAATGATATTTGTATTATTAACATAGTTGTTGAGGTACTGTTAAAGTCTGACTTTCTTGTTTTTAGTCAAAAATTAGCAAATCTTAATTGATGTGGTAACTTAACCCACCCTACATTTATTTGTTTCATCTATTGAGTTATCTCCGACAACCTAGCCAAGCAGATTTGTCTGTGCATTGCATATAGAATCTCATATCTGTGTCATATTTGGGCTGATCCAATTATTGCCTGCCTGTCTACAATTTTTGGGAGAATTACTCAAAGCTGCAATAAGATCAAAATTGTGTCCATTCCATCATTCTCATTGTTTCCAAGCCATGAGGAAGGGGGTTGTGTCTGCTCCTGAAATGCATGGACTGTTTAATAAACACAATTGTTAACTTTTTTATGGACTCTAACATCCATCGTGGTCTGGCGCTCTTATGTTTTCTGTCCCTGAGTTGCTCCCAGTACCTCCTATTGGAGACTGTGCATCTTTGAGCCGCCTAACCATACACTAAGGAGCTACCTATAAATTAACCTGGGTCTGTCATAAAGGATTGCAAAAGATTCCTCCCAGCGGCTCTGAAATGCTCTTACACATTGAAATATGTGTGCTGCCCTATGTTGATGGATGACAAATGTGCCAAAATGCGTGTGAACATGCAGCCGGGGTGAATCTGCAGTTATACAATATTTGTTTAGCCTAGTTTTCAGCTTTATCATAATTCTTATTGCCAGGCCTGCAAAGTTTTTTTTTAACTAGCTTTGCTCTGGACTTGGTGCAGTACCTTCCAAAAAAGTTGAATCTTCATTGCACTGTCCTCTGTAGTTTCCAATATCTTCCACCAAGTCTCAAGTGTACCAGTAGGAACTAAAACAAACAAATGCATTTGTTAAATCAAAAATATTTTTTGCAATCTATATGAAAATGAAATGAACACTACAAACTTGTCTGCAACTTCTTTTGGATTTTCACATTTCTGTTCTCTGTGTGTATAGTTTTACATGTATATGGGCACATATCCAACAGAGTCTAGAGTTAAATGGGGTTTTCACGGTACATAACACAGCATGTGTTTAGATATCTCAAAACATAACATATTAATTTGTCCAAGTTATAACATAGTACATGATTAAAAACACCCTTCAAGAGTGAAGAAAACAACCATACAGTCTATTATAAAGGTGGTACAAATATTGATACATATCATTCTTGCATCACACCAATAAACCCATCATAGAGGAGCTTGTTACTTTACTCATGGATGGCGCCAGATTGGTTTATTTCTCAATGTTGTTTTCTCTTAAAGAAACAATTTTAGAGAAATACGTTGAGAAGTAAACCAGTCTGGTGCCATGTTTTGCAATATCTTTTCTGTAAATATTTTCTTCCTTCCAATAAAGAAATCTAAAATTGTTAATTGAATCTCTAAATTTCTAATTATAGCTTAAAACGTTTGCCTCTTTGAAGAAGCTGCCATAGTGTTAAACACTACATTGCTATCTGGGCATGGCAGCAAGTAGTACAGACATTTTTAAAGGTCAGAATTGCAACAGGTGATGCTGTAAACAGTGCAAATTTCCGCTAAAACACACGAGGGCATGGGAGGGAATATAATCTTCGCACAACACATCACTAATCCCACATATTGGAAATGAAGTGCACAAAAGTGTTAAATAAAGTGCTGATCATTTCTCAAATAGGTGCAAAGCTCAGAAAAGTGTAAACAATACTGAATAGCAAAGAAATAAATGCACTCTGTAGCAAGTTATATTGGTGAGTGTTTTGAGAAGCCATTCTATGTCCTATTTTACCCTATGCTATAATTATTGTAAAAAAAGAATAAAAGAGTGAAGTGGCGTTTTCATTCCCCCCTTAGTTCCAGTTTAAAATAGTGATGTGTAAGTCAAAAACAGGAATATAGAATGAACGGTAGTAGAGCTGGACATAGGTAACAGTTTGATGGTATTTGAGTGTAGATTTTTACTTTGAAATGGTAATAAAGCTAGCTGTAACATTTTCCCCAGCCTACATTATTTTGCTTTCTTAAGGGCCCAGTCACACCATATCCAGTGCGTTCCGGGGTGCACTGGTGAAAACAGGGACACCGGCACTCCAATGTAAGCATGAGACAGAGACTTTTTTATTGCAGAAATACATCATGTCACAAAGATGCGACGACCGTTTCGGGATTACACAGGATCCCCTTCCTCAAGCAATGACATGTGCACTGGATCACATAGATCAAGCCGGCCACTGTTCTGGGGCGGGAGGGGGCGTGTCAGTGTCATTCATGTCAATAGCACCGCAGAAACACACCCTGCCCGCAGTGTGATCGCCCGCACCGGAACGCGAGATACAGGAATGCCCTCCATTCCAGTGCAGTGTGATCTAAAAATAGTGCATGCAGCATTCTTAGGAAAGATTGTTAAGGTAGGTGTTCCCAGTAGCATATTTAGGCATTATACTGCATTAGACACACCTGAATAATGATGCTACAAGCGCCATCCTTTTTGTCATATGATTAATTTAGTTAAAAAATGATTGTGTTAGAATGTGATGTTAGAGGCATCAAGCAGTCTGCTTGTTATACAAGATTACTTTTCATTTTTGCAGATGACCAAACATATTTTTAGGTAGATGGAAACTTTTTCTGGGATTGCATTAGCAATAGCCATACTCATCATATGTAAAATGTATCTGAACGCCAGAACATTTTCCTAATCACTTGCTGGTTTGGCAGCAGAGTGGTCCATAGAAGAGCCAAGAAACTCATATATATTTCTAAGGTTTGCCATAAACTACCATGGTGTACATAAAACATGTCCTTTACTGCCTGGGCCACCAAATATAGTCTGTGAAGAAATTCACTAACCTGATTCAGATGTGATCTGACTGCTTGATGGTCCCCATTCACTCCACTGACCAGTTTGACTTTTACGAATGCAGCGAATCTGGAAATGGTATTTTGTGACACTCAACAGTCCACAGTGGCTTGTTTCATCTGAAAATTCAACTGCAGTCTGAGAAAAAAAAAGATAGATTGGCAAGTGGGTAGGTAGGAAGATAGATAATTCTATTCTACAGTGATCACTACAAGGTGAACCATGGTCACCTAATTATTTATTCATCAGTATATAAAAATATAGTAGTCAGACCTACAGTATTTGTTACCAGCTTTTTACTGTAGAAATCTCCCAATGACACAAAATATAAAATAAGGACATTTAAAGTAGAATCCGTACAACTATTTAACTTAAACGAAAAACTTCAGACAACATTTTTATTAACCCTCACACTGTGCTAACTCCGCACTGCCAGGATTAACTGCTCATTTTGTTCTAGGGAGAAAAATAATAAAATTAATCTCACCTGATCTTCAGAGCCGACTGGCTTTGAGAGTGCTCCCTCCTGTCTGTCTCCTCTTACACTCCAGCAGTGGTATATCCCTCGGCGTCTTTACGTTCTATAGGCTGTGTATTGAACATGATGATTCACAGGACCTTAGACTGCTGCAGCAGAGGGAGCGAGGCTGGAAGGACTGGTCTAAGAGCAAGCTGGCTCAGAGGAACAGGTGAGTATAGCTTTTTTATTTTCCTCCCTAAACCAAAACGAGTAGTTAACCCTTGTTGTGCAAGGTACTCACACTGCAAGGGTTAATACAAATTTTGCCCAGAGTTCTTCTTTAAACACTTTAGCCAATTGAGTGTTTATTAAACAGGATTCAATGTATTTAAATGTATTTATTGCTAGCAAAACTGTTGTAATGGCCTGCGTTGATGGGCTTCAGGCTTGTGTCAGGGGTATCAGTTTGACATCATTGTGAAACGCTTATGAGATCATTCAGAATTCATTGACAGGTGCATTCCACCTGCAGTTGTCTTCATTGTGACTTGTATCTGTCCTGCTTCAAGCGGGTCAATTAGAGGTACAGAGGAATTCAGGTAGGACCTCAGCAGCGTTGTGATATAGAAGATTGAAATGTGGACAATAAAATGCTGATGCTTTAGCTTATCTCCACTGCAAGATGTGTGCCATCAATCTCTGAAGTGGCTGGGTCAGTAACAACCATTAATATAATCACTTAGGGGTCTATTCACGAAGCTGCCGAAGGATCTGGCCGTAGCTTCGGCCCCAGGACCCCTTCGGTTCAGTAGAACCGAAGTGGTGCTGCACGGGCTATTCACAATAGCCCGTACAGCTCCCGATCATGGCCGAGCGGCTCAGCTGAGCCGAACGCATATGCATCGGCTCGGCTGAGCCGTGCTGAAAGCCGTAACTGGCCTGCTAACCAGGGGCACTGATCTCCAAACAGCTAACTCTCCCTGGCGGCCCGGGAGTCTCTTAGTGAAAAAAACAAGTAACCAAATTAAAGTGACACTAAACTCAGGCGTTAAATCTTAAAATGGCATTCAAGTACCTTAACTATTAACCAAAATGTATCTTATTTGTGTATCACTCAGCTGTAGATCCTCAAATCATCTCTGAAGTGGTGCTGACACTGTCCTTCCTTCTGGAGGGTGACTACTTTTGTTCTCTATGGTCCCTGTGTTGTAAAGTAGTCACCGCTCCAAGCTCATTTCTGTGATGGACTTCAATACAAATTAGTAAACTAAACGTGAGATTGTAGTCCATCACAGGAGTGAGCTTGGAGCGTTGGCTACTTTGCAAAACACATAGGGACCACGGGGAAACAAAAGTTCTGCCTTTGCAGGTCATGGTCACATTATTAAAATAAAGGATGTGTGCACAAAGGTATACTAGTGGGATCTGTACCACTGAACATAAATATGGTAGGAACTAGTCTGACTAAACATTCATATGATATGACATACTGACAACATAGTAGTAGCAGTTGAATGTGAATATTCTACAGCTTCCATGACTTACCTGGGCCCATTCTTTTTGAAATTCACTTCTGTAGCGCAGCTGACATTTCAGCTCTTTTACAAAACCTGCTTTACCATATGTCCATTGCAGTTTAATACAGCCTCCAGTGGTCGCTTTTATTTCGGTAAACGCTATGGGATCAAGCTTCACTGAAACAGAAATACACATCTTCAGAGGATATCATTAAATGCTGCTTATATAATGCAGATGCAGCACTATGTACATCTATGCCAGTCTTTATGTTAGCAGTTGAGATATTTCAAGTGGATATTGAGCACAATTTAATTTTACTGATTATTAATAACATCACTAACCTTAGGCACCGTTGAATACTGTGGTCTTTTTCCTTTAGTGCATTTCTATGTAATATAGCATGTGCATTATATTTTATACATGTGAAAAGAGCCTTAAGGAAACAGAGCCTTACCCATAGAACACGGGTACCCTTGTGTTTGTTAGGCATCAAAGCATTTGGGCTAGTATCGGTATCGGTGCATCCCTAATAAAACTAGGGATGCACCGATACCGATACTAGCCCAAATGCTTTGATGCCTAGCCCGATACTTCCGTTATCAGGAATCCGGGCAGCGCGTCATTGCATGCTGCCCGGCTTCCTGATTGGCCGGGAAGCCGGCTCCATGCTCTCTCGTCACTTGTGACGAGAAAGCATGGAGCCGGCTTCCCGGCCAATCAGGAAGCTGGACAGCATGTAATGACGCGCAGCCTGGCTCAGAAGCTGCCCAATCAGGGCATCAGTCAGGCGGCGTGTAATGACGCGGTGCCCGGCTTTCTGATTGGTCGGGAAGCCAGTTTCATGCTCCCTCGTCACCTCATGACGAGGGAGCTTCCCGGTCAATCAGGATTACATTAATTCAAAGGAATACAAATATGTTTTACATTAAATAACGGGTTCTCTAATATTTGGTAAAACTTGTTATGCCTAAATATGTTGTATAGATGGCATCTTGAATAAATAAACATACCTTCTTCTCGTGGAATGAAACAAACAGGAGCAGAGGTAGCAGAGCCCAGCTCGTTTTTTACAGTGACCCATACTGCAAGTCTTTTGCTAAAATGGTAGTTGCCACGGGAAATGTTGCAGAAATTCTGTCTCACTTTAGGAGTGCAGTTAAATTCACTCTTTGATGGTATCAAGCACTGTTCCACGGACCTGTGCAAAACACTGCTAAATATTAACAACTGTCTAGCTGTAATATTAAAGCATAGGTAAAACAGATACATTTGCATTCAGCCTACTTATACTTTTGCAGCCAAATATGGATAACACCTATTTTATATTTGTCATATGTTCCCATTCACATAGCATAACTTAAAATGAAAATTGCTGCTTACATTTTTAAAGTGACACTAAACTCAGAAGTTAAATCTTAAAAATGTTCAAGTTAAGTTCAAATTAACAAAATGTATCTTATTTGTGTATCACTTAGCTGTAGATCCTCAAATCATCTCTGAATTGGTGCTGACACTGTCCTTCCTTCTGGAGGGTGACTACTTCTGTTCCCTACTATCCCTGTGTGTGTTGTAAAGTATCCACTGCTCCAAGCTCACTCCCATGATAGACTACAATCTCACATTTAGTTATCTAATTTGTATTGAAGTTATAGTCAATCACAGGAGCAAACTCTGGAGCGGTGGCTACTTTACTTCCAGAAGGAAGAACAGTATCAGTATAAATTCAGAGATGATTTGAGGAGCTACAGCCGAGTGATACACAAATAAAATACTTTTTTGTAAATAGTTAAGGTACTTGAATACATTTTTAAGATTTAATTTCTGAGTTTAGTGTCACTTTAAGTGCTGTTTACTTGCTTAAAAATCCTACCTAGCTTCCCCCTATGTAATGTTAGGGAGGAGGCTCTGGGAAGTTATATTTACTTTAATTAACCCTGCTTGCAAATTTAGTTATTACTATTAGCTGTGAACTAGTTTTAAATACTATCTGTACTAACAAAAGGTTAACGATTTAGAAGCATTGTATGATAATGAGAAGAAACTCAGTTTGTCAGTTTGTCCCTTTAATTTCACTTACAAACTGCTCAGAGTAGCCTGGAATCTGCACAAAGGTCTTCACCAAAAAAATCTAAAAGATAAGATATATTTAAAAAAATATTTTTTGGTATATTGTGTGAATGAGAACACATAACAAATACATAGAGGGTTTTTCTCAAATCTGACTGCAAAATTGGAAATACACTGATGATCACTTGCCTGGAACCTGAAAGTGTAACATTGGTTGTTAACAGCGAATCTTCTCCAGGTAGCCATGTGCAGGTCACTATATTATCTAAAGGTTTCATTAAACAGCTCAGGTTGGTTGGTGGAGATGGTGAATCTGCAAATCAGATTAGTGATAATCATTTACTGACAGATATGGATTAAAAAAAAAAAATTACTGTATTGTGATTTGTTAACACGAACTGCTTTCATAGCAGTGGTTTAGTGCATCTTAATTAGTCCCTATTCTCTCAGCTCCCCTCCTTCATCTGACTGACACCGATGCAGCATACATTTTTTCTCCCACCTACCTCAACGCAGCAGCAGTACCCTTCTCTCATCCTATTGCTCTACCCTTCTCTTCTGCCAACATCTATACTTTATACACTATGTTGTATGTTACATAGTCATGACAAAGGTGTTTGTTGTCTCCACAGCTGCCTGTTTTATTGATGTTTTTCTTCAAGGTAGGCTCAGACATATGATAGATTTTTGTGTGCAGAAAAGCAAATGTAATAGAAAAGTTTAATTTGATAAAAATAATCTTATGTCCTGAGGTTCATGTGTATCTATGAGACTGTCATTGTGACACTTGTGTGCAGTGTACACAGTGAATAACCACAGGTTATGTTTAATCACACCTGTAAACCAGGGACGTGCGGTCAGGGGAGGCAGAGCCTCACCTAGAATTATGGAGGAAAAAGCTGTCAGCTTCAGGTCTGAAGCTGACAGCTTTTTCTCCATTCAGATCGGCATTTAACAGGTTACACAGCAGGGAAATCCTCCCCGCTGTGTAACCTGTCACGGAGCCTCAGCGGTGAGGAGCAAGTGAGGGACAGGGAGGCTCCTCCCTGTCTCCTCCCTTCCTCCTTTACACTATCTTGGGGGCGGGGCTTCATCAGGAGGGGGCTGCGCTTTGACCGACAGGAGGCGGGATGGGATTAGTAATGGGATTACTACTTGAAATGCACTTTATGCAGTAACATTTATGGACAAATTTATGGACTAAAGGTTACCAGGCCCAAATATGTTGGTAAACCACACAAGCCAGAGCCTGTGGTACCAGACTTTTTTGGGGGTTTACAGACCCATCTTTGTTTCATGATGTTATATAGTTTCTTCTGTACCTGAAACATTTGTAAATGAAGAATACACTAATGCATTGTTCGCAGGAAAATAATGGTCATTGTGATTGGCATAAACAGAATATCAGATTACTATATATATAGAAAAATATTCTATTATATATGCTTATCTGTTTAAGAAGATCACAAACAAATGTCAGGGGTGCCAGACCCTCTAAAATTAGACTCAGCAAACAATGATCTGATGGTCATTTCATGAGGCATGATTTTATTATTTTCATCCTGACCAGGGATGACTTGTAGCAAAGTTTTATAAGGTTGTACTAAAGCTGATATGTGTTTTGTTTATGTGATTATAAAAGATGTATTAAACTGTCTACAGATGGGAGAGCAAAAAATAGTGATGCAAATTTATAATGATAAAGTAAAGAAAATGTCAGACTCACAGCCAGCTCTAATGTGAATTTCATCCATTAACTGAAGTCCTTCACTGTTTTTCACATAACATTGAAGCAGTCCCGAAGTCTTGTTGAAGCTGCTGATATACACAGATGAGGTGTTTTCCTGAACATTCCTATACTGAGCCTCAGGCAGAAGATCATTGTCCAGCTTCCACACCACTACTCCTTTTCCTATCTCAGGGCAATAGGAAGAGCAAGAAGCCAACACAGGGGAACCAAGATGGATTACAGAAGAATCTAAAGTAATGCGACAAGCCCAGGGTTCTGCCAAGGGAAAATGTTGTATGTTATTAAAGGATATCTGTTGGCAAAAACTGAAAAATAAGTATGCATTTCTATATTGCATTCCATAACGTCTATCGTACTCCTAATAACCGTATCAATTTAGAAGTTTGTAAACTTACTTATTAAAGATACCCATAGAATGTACTTCCTCAATGCTTTTAATATTGTTAATATTATATTTAATATTGTTGTAGAACAATCTATCTGGCTTAGAAAACACAAAGGGAACTTACATCAGAAGAGAAGCAAGCTAAACATTTTTACTGGGATTCGGGAGGAGAGTGTAAAGCCAGATAACTGTGGCACTGGTTTGGAAGAAATTAAAGCAGATGGCTGGTAGGGTGTGCTGATGCCATAGAATATAACATGGTCTGAAATACATTAGCAGGATCGAATGACAATGATTCCAGTATTACATAACATAATTTTAACTGCATATTATGGAGTGAAGTGTGAGCAACAAAAAAGAATTGTGGAGTTAAACTGGGAAATGGCACATTTAATAAATGCATCTTTTCAATGAACCTACTATATATAATAAGCAAACACATTTTAGGCACAGTGAAGTGATTCTAACAAGGTAGCAGCAAGGTGAGTCAAATGACACTTAAAAAACCTACTTACTTTGTTAAATTTAACAGTTCTGTATTTTTTAGCTCCTATTTTAGGGGTAAACTATATGGACAACTGTTGTGTCACTTAAAACAGACTTTTACCCCATTTCAATAAATATCACATCAGCATTCAGCATGCTGATCATTCTTTAGTTAAATAAACATATTTTTCTCTTACCTACAAGTTACATTTATTGTGTTTCCTCTTCCTGGTCCTCTTAGGCATTAGTGATGTAGCACATGCCTAAGGTATGCATGCTGGGAAGAGTACATCACAGAGCATTGCTTGGAAATCTCATCTGTAAACTTCAAAATCTCACAAGATCCCAGGGAAAGGCGTTTTCCTCCTCTGAGATGATGTACATGGTCACATGTCCGCGTCACATGTGTCAGAGTACCAGGAAGTAAAGGGAGATGGATTTGTCTGCCCTTAGTAAAAATTGCCAATTTGCCCACCATGAGAAGAATGGGGAGGAAAAGAAAAATAAGGGATGCAAAGAATAAAAAGACAGCAACTGTCTAAAAGTATGTGTTTGTAGATTGCCATTACTAAACATTTCTAAAGGTGTCTTTGTTGGAATTCTAAAGATAAGGGTAAAAGGTCCTCTTTAAGAAAGCACACACTGAGCAATTATTAATTAAATGACCCTTACTTGGTGTAGTATACTGTAGTCCTTGATGTGAACTAAAGCACAGTTTAAAGTCATGACAAAGTACTATTTCTGAACTCTGGGGAGCATTTACCTAAATGCAGTGAAAGCAAAAGCTAATTTGTCTAAAATATTCTCAAAGAAAGTCATACTAACACTGTTTACTATAGTTCTCTGTGTGTACCCTTTAGGCTAAAAAAACGAAATGGGTTTAAATATACTAACATATGAAGTGAGGTGACATGCATTTGAGTTCACATCAAACATTCAATCATGCTTAGGGGCATTTGAAAAAAAGAACAGGTTTTTTACTTGCAAGGATAGTAGAAGTGAACTTATGTGGCCTTCACACCACCTCAAATCAGGCCCAATGAGTGAAAATATCATTTTTCTCACCTTTGACCAGCATGAGAAGTAAAGTCCCTTCTAGTAGCAATATACTGTAGTCTTTCTGCATTTCTTCAATATTCTTACCCTTTAATCTGTCAGAGAGAAGTTAGACGAGTGAAGGACTGTTGAGCAAGCAGTGATGTGAAAGAATGCAAAAAACACAGAAAATGCATGAAAATGGTAAAAATTGATAATGCAATGTGTATTATATTAATCTTACAATACATATAAAAGGGACATTGTGGTTATTTATACATCTGCTCCCATCAAGATATAATTTCTTCTTGTTACTGTTGTTTGAGGTAGCTTGTCCTGGAAAACTCTTAATACTATTTGGAGCTTACACAGGGCCCATGCCTATCCTATGATATATCTCCTTGCTCCTGGAGGCTAAATGAAATAGCTGGGAGGTGAAGGAAAGGTGAGTATGTGCAACATGGCAAGGTAGCATGAACAAACGTTAGGTTTACTTTCAGGTTCATATTCAATGAACAATCTATCTCCAGTCAGTTATGCTTTACCTTCGGCAGAATCACTTAAATTATACTTCAATTATCCTTAGTGGATCTTGCTTCTTCAAAATCCTGCTGAACCCTAATAACCAAAAAGTAATCAGGAACCAGCTAAAATTCATACTGTGTATACCCGACGGGTATCATGTCCATAGGGTACTGTTGTCAATTCTTATGTTTTGTTTTGCCCTGGCACCTACTTGATAAGATTTTGAATTGGTAACTGCTGCTACAAGCCCAGACTGACCGTGGTGTTCCCCTAAGTAATATACATTTTTTTAATTTTATCAATGAGTGATGCAGAGCTAATGAGACGCTACCAACAACAGCAATTAAGATGAACATGCAATGGCACCATGAGATACCTATATCCTCCTTCTACTGTAAATCTTAACTGTGAAAATGCTAGCTTAAGAAATGGAGTAGCATCTTTTAGGAATTAACTAGTAATCAAGACCAAATAGTTTACCCTCCTATGGATCCTGCAATAATTTGTCTAATTTACCTCGGTCCCCTCAATGCTTAATTTGATCAATATGGGGTTTGTTTTGAGGCATACATACAACTTTGTAATGCTGTTAAAACATATATAATTTATTGTATAATGTTAAAAATCCAAAATTTTTTGTACAAATTGTCTAAGAAATACATATACTTTTCTTGAACAGTCCCCAAGTTTAGCCCTTGTTCAACTCTAGATATCTTAGTTACATACACAGGGCTGTAGCTACCATGGGGCGCCTCAGGTGCAGCTGAGAGGGGGCATTCTGCACATGCGCGCCGCCATCCTGGAGGTGGGCCACATGACGTCACATGATGCTGCACATGCACGGCGCCAAGTGACATCACACGTCTGTTGGGGGGGCACAATTTTCTATTCTTGCCTCGCGTTTACCTTGACAGGATATAAGCGCAAATCATCAACAGCAACTTACAGTAGGTAGAGACAGAGTGAACAATGGCTAGAACACCTGTCAGCATTTCGTGTCAGCCTATGTTCCCCTTGAAGATTTCCCCTCACTTCCTGTCTGGTAAAACTGTTGCCATTTTAACAGTAAGTAAGGGAGATATCTTGGACTGAGCCCATAATAGCAGTAAAAACTGGCCAGGGGTTCTAAACCTTTTTCACTTTTATATCATTTTGTAATATTTATACAAAACTTTAAAAATAGCTTTAGCTAAAGTTACACTTTAAGAATAGAGTCAGGCATCACTCTAATGGTCCAAAATGACATCCTAAACATTAAACATTATTTTGTACAGCAAACATCAAATATCTAGTTGCTGGGCAGATACTGGAAATTTTATATTCATGTTTGCCGTGGGGAAGCTAGACCTTCTATCACCTGGGGCAAAGGCTCAGAGTTGCTCCCCCCAAGGGAGAAGTTCTCCATCCACACACCCAGTGACATTTAAATCTTGATGCGTAATGATTATTTATCTGACCTTTTACTTGAAAAAAGGGAAATCATTGCCTTCAAGTCTGGATTATTTAACTACTTGGCTAAAAAGGCGTTTATTTATTTATTACATTTATTTGTATTAGAATATATTTAATAATCCATCAACACCTGCTTTGGGATTAAAGGATTAAAGGACAAAATTGTTCCCTCAGGTAGCATGGTTGTTCGTGTGCCTTTGATTTTTATCATTTTGCCTTTGAATCTGAAATTTCATCTTTTTCATTAAGCTTTGTGAGTTTGACCAGGTGTCAAGTTTCCAGAACAGGTAAAAAAAGATTATATGGATTAGTTACTAAATTACATTGATATTCAGACAGATGATAGATAGATAGATAGATAGATAGATAGATAGATAGATAGATAGATAGATAGATAGATAGATAGATAGATAAATAGATAGACCCCTGTGCAGTGTTTATGTTTTTATTTTTTTATATGGCCAGCCTTCCAAATTGTTGCATTTAGGTGTTTTCAAGTGAAGGGTATTTTGTGCTTCCAACCGTGTGACAACAGTTCAGGAAAGCCATTTTCTTTTCTAGCTCGACTGTACCCTATATGGACAGTCAGGTCTCTAAACACATGGTTTGACAAGTTTAATGTGGATTAACTTGTGTTGCCTGCACAGAGCCCTGACCTCAAATGAAAACCTTTGGAATGAGTTTGGGCGCCAACTGCAAACCAGTTCTTCTTGTCAGTACCTAACCTCACAAATGTTATGATTGATTAGGAATAAAAATTGATAGAAAGGGTATTCCAGCTTTGAAAAACGTTGGGACCCTTTTTACAAGCACTGCCAATGTAATTACTTTTATTTTTGACACATATGTCCAGTGAAGAAATTATGGATAGTAGAAAAGGTGAAAAAAAATTAAACAAAAAAGGAAATTACAACCTTGAGGAAAAATCTACCTACAGCTTTAGGGTAGGACTACGCTAGCACCTCCAAATGTTCATGTTTGTTTCCTGATGACTTGAGGTGCATTATAAAGGCTCTTAATGGGAATGGCAGCTCGACAACACTACTGCCCAAAGCACTAAACAAATGCATAAATATGCACATGCTCAGGTATGAATGAGCCTTATTTGCCAGTGTAGCCCTAGCCTTTTCCCATACTGAAAATAAATGCAATTATCTATTATTATTTATTATTACTAAATCACATTATGTCTAGTTTGGGGTTAAAATTTGCAGCACAAAATGTTAGATAATATACAGAGTTTGCTGGATACTGTGCTGGATTGATACACACTGCAGTTCAGGGCAGGCAATATAAAATCATTTCCTCCTTTCCTTGATTGGTGGTCTCTACAGATCAGCAACACCTCTGGATATAATGCAGAAACCAAATTGCTTCTTATATCACTTTTTTTCTTTTTTTTTTATACTGTTTGCAAAAAAAATCACAGTGGGTGGATCATGTACAAATAGACATCCCCCTTTATGTGTGGTGCAGCATTATAAGATTGCTCGAACAGTTATATTAACACTGGCCATAGATGGCTCGAATTTTGGATGTTCAGTCGGCCAGCTGAATGAGGGAATCCAATCAATTCCCTCATCCACATTATTAGTGTGGATGAATGAATCACTAATGGTCATCAGGGGCCAACGCACCCACGGCTGCCTGAACACATAAACAGTGACTGCATCTGATAGGACACAATCACTGTTTGGTTTATAATTTTCCATCAAGCCAAGTTAATTTTTAAACTGACTTTGGTTGAGGTGGTGCTGACAGGGCTGAAATTTCATAGGATTCAGCAGGTAATGGCTGAAATTCAAGACATCTATGGCCAGCCATAGTTCACTGTGAAAAAGGCTGTAAATACATTTAATAATCATGCATCCATATGTAGTCATATAGTAAATATTACATTTTAAATAAGCCACCCATGCTTTATTCTTCTCTTATCAATCACTGAATTTGCAATATAGAAATAATAAAGCCATTTGGCACTATTTTGTTGGAGTATGTTTTTTTTTTTCTCTTCGCTGTTGCTCTCAATTTCTGTATTCCTATGTGAGATTTATATCCTTGTGTCTATAATAAAACCTTTAAAACTAAACAAGAAAATTGGAAATCCACAAAACAGTGTCCCATACTGTATGTCAAAACTGCTAATTAAAATAACTGTTCAATCAAAAAATGCTTATATAGTTTTTATAGTGGTTAGAACCAGTGAAAGGTTTTAATTGCACTTTGTGTTGGGGAGATTTGGTATTTGTTCCTGTCTCAATAACCACTGAGCAAGTAAAGGGAGTCTCCCTGATGGGAAAGCCAACTGCAATAAAACCTGGCAAAGATTCTAATCCTTCCCCAATCTTTAAAAAAAAAAAAGGTGCTTTTGTTGCTGTCTGTGACACCATTGGAAAGATTCTGCTCACTTGTTGCCCAAGTGACCACACAGGAAGTAGGGGTGGTGTCTGGCTTATTGCTGTCTGTTTTCCCCATCAGGGAGATTCCCCTTACTTTCTTTGTGGCCATCTTCCCAACACAAACTGCAAAGTTCTAATCCTTTCCTGTTCTATCCAAATTGAGTGTTCCACTTTATTTTATATCAACAAATCAGTGTTTGATAGATTGATTGTTTGATATGACATGATTACTGCAATTTGCACTTCATTATTTGTTTCTTGTGCTGCCCTGTTGTAATATTTTGGTAGGTCACATCTTTGGTAGTCACAATAGTTGTAGATATAGATACTCATGCATGAGAAATAGACCAAAAGTGATAAACCTCTGAACCATGGACCTCTCATATGAATTTTTTTTTCCGGAATACATATATTTGAAGCATCCTGGAAGGCTGTCACCCATCATAATTTTTTTATGCAATATTCCTTCTTTTTTTTAAAATATTTCACCTGATGTCTTGAGTGTATTCATACCCTGGGCAACTGTAAATGTGCAATAGCAAAATGCAATATATGTGGATGCTCAAAATGTCCAACAAGCATGGTGTTGTAGGGGTCTGCTTCACATGTATAAATTGCAGGATGGTAGTCCAGATGCCAAAGTGTGTTTAAGGGATTCCTCCCCGTGTTTATTTGTCACCATTGCATCAAAGATTTAAAACAAAAAAGAGCTTATCTCGCAGGGGGTCTGTGTCAGCACA